ACAACAACTAGCATCGAATTCTTGCCCTGATCACAGCCGCTCGCTCCGACCTCATATACGAACACTTCATTACTCCGCTCTGTCCACCACCCGTGAGTGCGTGCAGCTGTGCGTGAGTTTGGCTGTGCGTGCGTGTATATGTGCGTGACTGGATGCGCGCGGGCGTGCGTGTGTCCATGCGAGCGTGCGAGCGTGCGTCCGCGCGCGGGTGCGAACGTGCGTCTGTGCATGCGTTCGTGCATCTGTGCGTGCGTGATTCTGCGCGTGCATCTGTGGATGCGTGCGTGCGTACGTGCATGCGTGCGTGCGTGCGTCTGTGCGTGAGTGCATACACGCGTCCGTGCGCCCGTACGTGCGTGCGTGCATCCGTGAGTGCGTGTGTATTTCTGTGCGTGAGTGCATATAATTATGCGAGCGTGCGTGCGTCTGTGCGTGCGTGCGCCTGTGCGTTTGTGTGCGCGTGTGTGTGTGCGTGTGTGTATGTTTGTGAGAGTGTGTGTTTGTGTGTGTGTTTGTGCAAGCGTGCAAGCGTGCGCGCGTGCGTGCGTGCGTCTGTGCGTGCGTGCATATGTACGTACGTGCATGCGTTCGTGCATCTTTGCGTGCGTGATTCTGCGCGTGCATCTGTGGATGCGTGCGTGCGTGTGCCCGCACACGGATGCGTGCGTGCGTCTCTGCGTTAGTGCATATATGCGTCCGTGCGCCCGTACGTGCGTGCGTGCATCCGTGAGTGCGTGTGTATGTACGTTCGTGAGTGCGTGCGTGTTTTTGTGCGTGAGTGCATATATGCGAGCGTGCGTGTGTCTGTGCGTGCGTGCGCCTGTGCGTTTGTGTGCGTGTGTGTGTGTGCGGGTGTGTATGTTTGTGAGAGTGTGTGTGCGTGCGTGTGTTTGTGCGAGCGTGCGCGCGTGCGCGCGTGCGTCTGTGCGTGCGTGCGTGGCAGACTGGTGGTATGAGAAGCGGATAATTAGTGCTGTTAATCATAAAGCAATCAGCCGCACTAACAGACCGCGCCGACTCACGCATGACTCTTCGCACCGCTTTTAAAATCGAATCAGAGACACTGTAGAGATATGTTTACTGTGTGGCGTCGCACCCCACCTTGCGAGAGAACAATAAAATAAATAACACAGTAAAACAATAGTTGCCCCCAGCCAATACATTCTGCCACCCTTTCTATGTCGATCAGTCAGTCCTTTCTTCGCTTCCCCACCCCCGCTCACCCCTTCCCCGTCCAAACCTCTCCCGTCCATACGTATTCTCTCACTCCCTCATCGCTGCCGCACATCCACCCACCGTTTCCTCGCCCGCCCTATACAGGCTCCACTGGTGGTCCATCGCCCCCGCCCCACGCGCGCGCACACACACACACACCCACGCGCACACACACACACACACACACACACACACACACACACACACACAACACGCGTATATACACCTAACGCTACGCATTCTGCTCTTCATTCTATCGTTATTTCTTTCTCGTTTCTCTCTCTCGCACCCGCAGGTGAGTTTAGACGCCCGAGTGCGCGAGATTGTGAATCAGAACATGGTCGATCCTAACGCTCGGACTTTTGACGAGGCGCAGGCACAGATCTACACGCTCATGAAGCGTGACTCCTATCCGAGGTTCCTAGCCTCGCCCACCTACAAGCGACTCTTAGACAGCTTAAAAGAGAAAAAGACGGCGCCCGAACGCTTGTAGGGGGCGCTCGCATCCGGCGTCCGACGCCGACGCCGCCGCTACGAACAAGAACGCCACCTGACGGCCGAGCTGTCGTCTGCGCGTGTGTCTCTCGCGGCGCTTCGCCGCTGATTGTGATGACGATGATGATGATGACGACGACGACGATGATGACGATGATGATGAGCTGAGAGAGCGGAGACGTCGTCGATTTGTGACGTCATCTGACCCCTCGATCGCCGAGACTCCTCGATGGCTTCCCGCGAGAATAGGCCACGTGACGACCTGCCTGTCCCGGACCAACCGACCCGGATCACCACTCGACGATACCGACACCCTATTGTTCACACTCAGTGACCTTCCGTCGGGGTTGACCTGGATGACGTCAGGCGATGACCTTCTATCGGGGTTGACCTGGATGACGTCAAATGATGACCTTCCGTCGGGAATGACCTGGATGACGTCAGGCGGTGACCTTCCGTCGGGATTGACCTGGATGACGTCAGGCGGTGACCTTCCGTCGGGATTGACCTGGATGACGTCAGGCGATGACCTTCCGTCGAGGTCGACGTTGTTGACCTTCCCCAGCGGTGACATTCCATCGAGGTCGACGTGCGTAACGTCAGTGACGTCAGTGACGCACGTTGCACGTCATCAATTCCTGTGTTGCTTCTGCTGTTTCGCCTTTCACGGCCGAGGATACGATTACGGTGCCGTGACGTCATGAGTGATATCTGCTGGGTAGTATTATGCGTAGATGCGTGCGGCGGCGGCAACGTGTGGAGTCGCGTGTTGGAGAGCGAGAGAGAGAGAGAGAGAGAGAGAGAGAGAGAGAGAGAGAGAGAGAGAGAGAGAGAGAGAGAGAGAGAGAGAGAGAGAGAGAGAGAGAGAGAGAGAGAGAGAGAGAGAGAGAGAGAG